CTCCCAGACTGCTGTGGCATGGGTCACTTTTCCATGGTGCAGTCCTCCAAGGACAGGCCGCTCCAGCCTGGGAGCAAGGGGCCCTCTCCATGGGTCTCTCACAGGGTCAGAGCCTCCTCCAGGAATCCACCTGCTCTGGCATGGGAAACTCCCCCACAGGCTGAGGGCGGATCTCTGCATTCCCTGTGGATCCCCATGGGCTGAGGGTGGATCTCTGCATTCCCTGTGGATCCCTATGGGCTGAGGGTGGATCTCTGCATTCCCTGTGGATCCCCATGGGCTGCAGGGGCACAGCTGCCTCACCATGGTCTCACCACGGCCTGCACAGGAATCTCAGCTCTGGAGCCTGGAGCACCTCCTGTCCCTCCTTCTGCACTGACCTTGGTGCCTACAGAGCTGTTCTTCTCTGCTCTTCTCTGGCTGGAATTACACCTGCACAACAATTTTTGTCTTGATTTCCCCTTAACTGTGTTATCCCAGAGGCATTACCAACATCTCTCATTGGCCCAGCTTTTCTCAGAAGCACATCTGTCTTTGCAGCCATCAGAGACTGGCTCTGCTGGACTTGGTAGAAGATTCCAGCAGCTTATCCCCTGTAGCCCCTCTGCTACCAAAACCAGACCACGCAAAACCAATACACCCCCCCACTCAATCTCCCTTCTCCAGCCTCTCAGGCTAGGTGATTGTCTTTCAGTGTTTGTCTCTGACACACTGCCCTTCTTGCCATAAAATAAGCAAAAATAAATCATTGTGTAAATTAAAGAGCAGAGCTCATTGCATTCCTATATGTGCTTAGGGAAGGGTGAGGACTGGAATCACCACCTCTACTGTGGTAGACCCCTGTGTGCATCCCACAGGTGCATAGACAGCTCTGGGAAGAAGAGCCTCACCCCTGGATGCCCATGCTCACAGAACATAGAGGCTTTTCTGAGCAAAGGTCTAATGAGGGCAGCCTCCTTCAACATGTGGCAAAGAGAAGCCATGTTTTTAAGAGGCTCTAAGGCAGTTTCTGTGTTGGGCAGAGGCTGGTGTTGCTCAAGGAACAGCATCTAAAATTCAAATTCTGATAAAGCATAGATCAGACTTCTTGACTCTGAGTGATTGGAGCACATTCTCAGTCAGGAACGAAGAAACATTGGGGGATAGCCTGAATGATTGAGATTTCTAGCAGTGTGGAGATCTAAACAGCTTTACTCTTTACTCTGATTGTGCAATCTGGATGCACATGCAAGAGAAATGTACCAGAAGGTAATGTTATTTCTAACAACACCTGGTGCTCCAAAACTTTGGGAGCAATTCAGGTGTTTACATGTAGGTTCTTTGTGCCATTTTGGACACTGGAGGATACCCAAGGGTGGCCATTCCACATTGAATGATGCACAGGATTATTATTACATTTCAGTTAATATTGGTGAAGGAGGCCAAGAATGAAACTGATGGTATGATTACAACCCAGTGCACCTAAGGCATATATCATGGACTAAAAATTGCTATCTTACACACACAGTCTAGCTCCTTCAGAAGATATCATGGAAACCAGAAAAATAGTCTTCTTTTCCAAGGTGAGTAGAGGGTGTGAGAGTGTTTGTTCACTACAGATGAGCCCCAGAACAGATTTACCTGCTGCTCCACAGAAGACTAAGAGAAACACTGCTGTACACAAAGCAGCATGGAGAAGCAGAGACTTGAAGAGCATGTCTTCTTTGAATGGAGATAAGTGTGAAGATGTTTATCTTCCTCTACTGACTGGCTCACATTTACAGGTTTAGTCTAAAAGGCCTGACTTTCAGATGGCTGATGGTGTGTTAGAACTCTCCCACCAAAGGAGCACCACTTCACTTTAAATTATAGATATCAGAGTGGACGCAGAGTTTTAATGTTCCTTTTTCTTTTTTCTGCTTGAAAGGGGATGATGTGAAAAGCTGTAACCTTGAAGGCCCTGGTGTGAGGCAGCTGGGTCAGCTGTGCTCCACAGAGGCTCCTGTTCTCTGGGGCTGGCTGCCTGGAAAGCCGCCCTGCAGGAAGCCGACCTCCGCCAGTCTCCTCACCTCTGAGCAGTCACTGAACACAAAAAATGAAACTGAAATCTTGTTCCTTTTGGTTTGATGAATTTTCTGATAGATGTCAGGAAATGTCTAGAATGTAAAGTAAACCGTTGTCCTTTCTTTCCTCTAAGTTTTCGTAATGAACTGCAGCAGACAATATTTAAATATTTTTATAATTTCTTTTCTTTCTTTCAGTTCCCGCAGGCATTCACATCGACACAGGGCCAAAAATTCATTTGAACAAGACTTCCTGTTCTTTCCAAGTCGGGTGGTGTGCATTAAATTGTGCAAAGTAGCTCATGTTTGATTCCATATCTACCTGAATTTAGTTAAGTGTTGGGTCATGCATGCCAGAGTCTATTAAACACAGTCGTTTGTTTAATCCTAAATTAAGGCAGGCTGGCAAGATTGAATGCAAGAAAAGCAAACTCATTCTTGTGACCAGCTGGAGAAATTTCCACAGAAACCCATCTGCCCTATGTCTTTGGGTTCATCTAATGAAATCTATAATTCCAAACAACCATTCAGGGAGATGGGAGAAAAAGAGCATTCAAAATGAAAAGTCGATAAAAGAATATTTTGGTTGCTAGTTAAAAATAATACTTGTCTCAACCAGCAGCTATTTTTTTGGATGGGGGGAATGGACAGAGCAAAAGCAAAAAGGAGAAATTTTTCAAGGCTAAAATATAATTATTCCATCAATTTTTATGTTATGAAGATTTATATGAAGAATTATGAAGATTTTTAAGATAAATCTTCAGTTTATGCCTTTACACTTCTTTTATGGAGTGGACAAGATGTGATCAAAGGAAGAAAGAAGGACAGGAATGGTGTGGGTCATGCTTCCATCAAATTCCAGAGTTATCTCCTTGACAATATCTATCTTTGTCTTATTTAAAAAAAAAAATCAAAAAAAATCAAACAATTAAAACCCCAAAGTTATCTTTCAGAATTTTGTTTTAGTCTACATAACTTTATTCTTTAGTCTTCTTTATACACATGAAACTGCATTACATTTTTAAAAACTCTCTGGCAGGACATTAATAAAAAGTTGTAGTTTTCAATTCTACATTTAAAATTTAATGTCTTAAAATTGTATAATCTTTTTGTTGTTGAATCATTCAGAACTTCAGTGGAATATGCTTAATGAGAAAGAATGGTTTTAATTAGTTTGAATAACACTGGAATTTATACATAGCTTTAGCGTATGGAGATCACATTGAAATTCCCCAAGCATAAAAGCAAAATTAGGAGGTACAAACTAGAGTTTAAAAATAGAAGTGCTTGTGTACATGACTGATTTTTTTCAGTTAGCATCAATGATACTTCAAATTTGAGTATTTTCCTATTAGTTGAACCCCCTTAAAAATGCATGAAATTAAAGAGCAAGACTGATTTTCTTGACCAATGATCTTCTGAAGAAAAAATTATGATGATAACCCATCCTTGAGAAAGCTACATACCTTTAGCAGGGAACAAAAAAAGAAAAGAAAAGGAAAAAAAAAAAGAGAGAAAAGTAATATCCAGGCTTTCACAATGCATAGGAGAGGAAGGTCTATCTGACCTGGTCAAATATCTTTTTGATATCCAAGAAGCAGATCAGAGACTTTAACTGCATCAAGGTGGACAAGTGGATTTCATTACATTTTGCTTTCATCATTGTCAGAAAAGTTTCACCATTTAATAAAAACACTGTGATCTCATTTTATTATTTCCAGGAGCTACTCCTTATCTAATGGCCAAATTTAGGGGCTGAATTTGAAATCTGCTTTCAAGTGAAAAATTTGGCTAGCATATCTAGCTGCACAGAATGTTTGCAAGTGTTCATATATATCCTGGGCTTCCTGGCTGCCATCTAGGAAATGCTGTCATTATTTGGCTGTTTTATTTTTGCCTACAGATGCTCTGAGTGGTGAAGTGTTACTACATTCTGAAGAAGGGATTTTTAGGAAGTGCAACCAATGTAACATGACTTTGAGGGCTATTGCAGTTTTTTAAAATGAAGGATATTGTACCTGTCAGAAAAATAAACCACAAAAAAATGCAATTGAACTGAAAAAATAAAAACAAACATCACCAAAGAAACTTTAAGGACTAAAAGATCACTGTTAATTTTGTTTCCTGATGACAGCTATATCTGATGTTTGATCATTCAAGCAGCCCATCCATACAGATCTGCTCTTTAGCATAGTGGCTGCAATTATTGCCGTGCCTGTTACTGTGTTGTTGTTGTTGTTATCAACAAGAATTATAATCCAAAGCTCCATAACAAATGCAAGTTCTAGAGAAGCCTGCAGTTGTTTGTACATTTTCTGAATTTATTATTGTTTGTCACAAAATTGAACTCTCCAACTTTCTCTCATAATCCAGTAATTGCAGCAGTATCTTAGAAAACAAAAACTGTGGCTTAAAATCTTTTCTCTACTGAAGATTTGAATGTGAGTCTCCAGGTGGGTGTTTTAAACACTGTAGCTGGAAGGGTCAGTCCATCTCCTTGTTTCACTCTGAGCAACAGGGAAACAGTCTGGTGTCTGCTTGGTTTCAGAGCCTTTGGAAATAAGCATCTGAACTCCTTCACTTATGCTCAGAGTTATCCAAGTATTTCTTACTTCATTTTTTTAGTGGCAAAAGGTTGTAGTAATAAAAATCCACAGAGATGACCCAGGCTCTCTGTCCTGCTTCAGGAATATTGCAGACTGTCCCAGCTGGAAAAGGGACTGTTTAGTTCTGGTGGTTTGTAACAACACCAGGAATGTCAAGTAAAAGTAGCTCATAGATACAGATGTAGATATGCTTATATATACATATCTATATAGACACACACACTTTTGTACACACACACACATATACATCCATCTGTCTATCTATCTATCTATCTATCTATCTATCTATCTATCTATCTATCTATCTATCTCTAAGCTGTCTATCTGTGTTAAAGGAGGGAGCACTACTTACCTCTGATAATCTGTCTGGAGAGCATCCCCACAATGTTCAGCTGTGTTCTGTGCCTCATCTAGATGTGTTCAAGCTCCCTTTCCAGGACTTTAGCAGTTATGCACGTTCAGTTCAGAATGCAGAAGACATAACTTCCATCCTGTTGGATGTTCCTGTCTGTGGTGGGGGGGTTAGATGAGAGGCTCTTCAAAGGTCCCTTCCAGTTCAAGCCATTCTGTGATTGATCCTATTATTCATCCATTATACAATCCAAAATGTGAAAGTCAGGGCTAAAACAGAAAAATTGAGAAAGTTTGCATCTCCTGCCAAGGTGTTAAATCAGTTACCCAAATTTGGTTCATATTGAGTTCAAGGATCTTCTCCCTACATAGGGTGTGATAGTCCTGTAATGCTGCTTGATGCACAACACCACATCTTTATGTCAAGGCATTTGTTCCGGTAATCTTTGCTTCACATGAGAGCTCCCTTACCTTCCTGACACGCACGGTTCTTCCAAGTGAATTAAATCTGGGTTGTGGATGCCTCACTGGGGACACACTCTTCTCATACCAGAAACTAGAGTTGCAAACTCGGGCTGGGAATTTCCAGAAGCATCACTTTTGTCCATATCAACACAGAAGTAAATTTCTCTTTGTAGGTCTAAAGGAAGATTTTCAAAGGTGAAAATGTCAATTATTTTTCTAACTCCATGTGAACATCTGCCCTTGAAATGCCCTGTTTTGTAACATTTTCCATTAACAAAAATAAAAAGACCACATAAAACATTTTATTCTTTGTAGTTGACTTGATATACTGAATGTGTCAGGGCACTTTTATCAGTGGGAAATATTTCCAGTGGTCTTATAAGGAATAATTAAGTGACCATCAAGACCAAGGCAGAAACATCCTAAATAACCTTAATCCTCAGCATAGTTGTATTTGATGCCAGCACTCTGGTTTTAAGAGTGAAGGCCACTGTCAGACTGAGAGAAGAGTTTGACAGCAAATTGATAGATCATCACAGTTGCACAGTCTGTTCTCCCTGTTGACAGAAGTATTTTAGTCTTCTGAGGTGCTGCTATATAATGCAACTGCCTTACTGCTGAATATACCAGCAATTCTACACTCATTTTCTGAATTTCAACATTTCAGCAATATTTCAGCATTTCCCAAAGAGTTAGTGTTATATGCATTGTACACCACAAATGTTCTATAATTTTATGAGCTACTTGAGGAATATTAGTCCCTACATGTCATACACAACTTACTAATCTTTGCCCTTGCATGTCTTTGAGTTTTGATATAGAAAGCATTTTGTCTCTGAGTAAACAAATCATGGAATTAGGATAATGCTTGCCATTTTAGATGCTATTTTAGTCAGTTTTCCAAAGAAGAATAATGTCCCAAAAGATGCTACCGGCTTCAGGACTGTATTTTTATGCTGCTTGGATATTGCTTTGTGGAATAAAAGTTGCTGCTAATAATAGACCAGTGTTTCTTCTCATCCTTTAGTGATTCTTCAAAAGCATCTAAGAAAAAGCCTGGGGAACACATTTGCCATTTTTGAGGCTTGTGTATAAAATAAAAAATGCTGTGGTGATACTTCTTTTTTGTCTTTGTTTAATGAGCACCTTGTGACTCATTGAATATGTTCACTAATCCCAGCAAATGACAAAGCAGCTCAATCACCTCCACAGTCTCTTGCTTTATAATTATCCTTCCATGACTTGCTTCAGCTCAAAAGAAGAGACACACAGGAAAAGATACTAATCTATCATTCATCTGTCAATATAAGGAACATATGGTAGCAAGGAAGTATTAAATATATTAAACAGTGCAATCTTCAAAAGTGACAACAGAGTCACCTTGAGGGCACAATTCTGAGACTGGCCTTTTGCTTTAAGGGATCATCTACAGCAAAGGTTTCTCTTTGAATACCCTGCATTGCTTTTCCTGTTGTCCACAACAAATGCTGCTACTTAGTGCTTATACATGTATGCCTTTTACTTCTGCCTTCATCCTATTTACCTGGAAAACATTTCCAGGCCAACAGTTGGCAGCCAGCTCCTCACTGAGGCTGTGTGGTGCTTCTGATGTTATCTACTTGTGCAGAATTGCTTTTGCTTTCATGGTAAGCCTTGTGTCTTTACCTATTCTATATTTGCATTAGGATCCAATTCTATAAGAATTATGAAATTTAGTGTTAGATTTAGGAGAGTGTTTAAGACCTCACCTAACTTTAGACTCATTAGTTCTAAGCATTGAAGAGCTCATCAATGCTGAAGTGATAAGGAGTAATAGGTACAAATTGAAATACGGGGAATTTACTTTAGATATATGGAAGAAATTCTTTAGTCTGAGGGTTATGAGATACTGAAACAGGTTACCCAGGGAGGTTGTGGATGGCCCAACTCCAGCAGCATTCAAAGTCATGTTGGATAAGGCCTTGAGCAACCTGGTCAAGTGGGAGGTACCACTGCCCATGGCAGAGCAGGTTGGGTTTAGATGGTCTGTAAGGTCACTTCCAACTCTGAACATTCTGTAAGTCTATGATCCTTTAAGGAGAGCTAAGATTCTATATATATAATATATTATATGTTTGTATAATGTGTACCTTACTCAGTCTGTGTAATTCAATCAATAACACATATGATTAATCCTCTGTTGTATTAAGCAGAAGCAAATCCGATGAGAAGCATATATCTCTGAGACTAAAATAAGTTGTTCTTCCATTTATTATCTGTTATTGATAAAATACAGTTTGTCCATACTAACATAAGGATTTTATGTAGATGGTGAAGAATATCAAAATTATGGATAATAATTAGAACTGACATTTTACCGTTCAAGCTGGCAGAAGAAATTTGAAGTGCAGTTATCACTAAGGAATTTAGCAGCAAGGAATAAATATTTGAGGCCATGAAATACTTCAGTCGATCTTGTGCGGAAAATCACACTAGGAAAATCCAGTGTCCATAAAGGAGACAGAGGAGTCCTGGAATTTTATTTGAATAAAGGGAGAGACAGCCCATACCCCCGTGGGCTTTCTCCCTCAGGACAAAGCCTCCTTTTATCCTAAACTCCTGGCTGCATGTTGCCCTCTTCTTTTCCCCATTGCCTGAGGTACTAGGAAGGTACAGATTTTCTGAATTGCTTACCACATATTCCTCCCTTGAACCTGTCATTTTCCTCCAAAGTTCAGAAGTTCAGGCTCTCTGGGTTCTGAACAGACTTTGTGCAGACCCGTTTGTCTATTACCAGAAGTTCAGGAGTCAAACTCTGGGTTCTGTAACAAACTTGTGAAGCTTGAGGTTGGTAGAGACATTAAGACCCATTTCAAAAACATTAACACCCATTTCTCCTAAAGACCTCCCATCGAGTTGTTTGTAAAGACATTAGCATCCATCCTTCTTATCAGTCTTGAGTCACATACCAAATCTTGGAACATTACAGACAAAATCACAGTTGCAGATACTGTGATTTTGGCTGCAATGTTCCAAGATTTGGTATGTGATCTTGTCCAAAATACAACCTCTGCTATATAAATAAGCTGAAATTTCTTTCATATTATTTTATTTAGTGAGATTTGTTTTTCAGGAATCCAATTCAAACAGAAGTGGACATTTGAAATATGCCCTTCTTTCCCACCCTTATGACTATAACTGATGTAGATTGAATTAGAGCTCCAGTCTTATCAAAACACTCTCAGCAGCTCCTGTTGTGATATGAACATTTAACAAAGCTACTACAGAATCATTGTCTCTTGGCAGGAATATTAAAAATAAATCTGTTCTTTTTTTTAAGTGAGGCCTTAATATACAACAATGAGAATAAGTAAGTGACTGACCAGAACAGCAGTGGCTGTTCCTCTTAGCAATAATGTATTAGGGACAGATAAATATTACTGTCTCTATACAAAGGGATTTTTGACTACTTCCAAATCAAATGAGGTAACAGTTGAGGTGCCTGAATTTGTGATATGTTAACACAGACACAGCAAGCACAGAAAATGCAGTGCTAATAATTTTGTTATGGTGGGCAAAATATTATCTAGAAGAGACAGAAGCAAAGGTTCTATGAGAAAACTCAGAAGACTTTTACAACTTGAAGCTGGAACAATATTCAACTTAAGAAATAAGAGTGGAATATATTTCTCATTGTGATCACAAGTATTGACAGAGGGTACAGCACAGGATTCAAGGTACATGTTTGTCTTGATTTAATGTAAAATAACCCACATTAGGCTCATATGAATAGCAAGAGGAAAATTAACTCCCTTTGTTGTTTTGAATGTTGCTTGGGTCATGCTCCAACATTGTATACTGTTATTTTCTTCCTCTTTGATCTAGATTCAGCTTCTATTAAAGATAACAGAAACCAATGAAAACTGGATCAGGCCAGGGTGTTATTAGTACCAAATTTCCTCCTTCATTTGCAGCTTCCATCATGTGCATACTGAATATCTCCTCATCACTTTGCAATTTGAGGGCACCCATATGTTAATTTGCTCCCCAGACACTGTTTCAGGATGTTTTTGCTATTTCATGCAGCCTGTCATTTCAGAGATGCTCAGACTTCATTTTGACCTCTAAGGGGCTGAAGGAGCCTCTGGAAGCTGTGGAGGCTCAGAAACAGAAAAAAGCCTGAGGGCAGGGAGCGTGGTTTCTGGGCAAGCTGGAGGCAGTCAAAGGATGTGGTTTTGAGGATGGAATACAAGCTGGATGGAGCTCAGGAGATGCTCTGTCATAAAGAGGTCTGACAAGACCCAGGGCCATGGTTAGTGATAGTGCTCTAGTTTTGATGCTGTTGCATACTTAGGCATACATGTTGCTGGTTCTGTACCAAAGGAGTTGATTACTAAATAAAAGGAAGAATAGTAGCAAAGGGATCCTTTCATGAAATAATGAGAAAAAGGCCAAAATATTTCTGAAATAAAAAACAGGCTTTTTTTTTCAATCTCAGGAAGTAGAATTAAATCACTGATTGAATTTGTACTGCAATAGAAGCATCAAGTAAAAGGAACCTATGCAGGAACTGTAAGAGAACTTTAAAAATTCACACGTGTCTAAATAACAGCATATCAAAAGCAAGCTAACTCTTTCAACAGCAGGATAACTTCCCTACATGTTGGCTTAAGCAATAAACACACACTTTCCCTCTCCTTTCTATGTACTGAAGCTGCCTGGCTGTCCTAAAGTTCTGGTTTCAACAACAGTTTAAACATCAGAGCAATGCATTTTCTTTAGAAAAGACATGGAACTTAAAAAAGAAGTGAAAGCAGTAAAAAAGGAACAGGATTTGTAGTGTCCACTTTTGGCCATCTGCATTAATTGCATGTGTGTGTATTAAAATCAATTAAATGAAGGCATGCCTTCCTTCCAACACAGAAAATAATTAGGTAATATATTAAAAGTAAATAACCTTGTTTGCCTCCCACTCAACCTTTCTTCATCATTCTTAATAGCAAACATCTAACTATTGATCGGTTCATTTTAAATGCTACCAAGGTAAATGCTGTACTACTTTGAACTGATGGAAGAACTGAACAAAGACAATCATAGTAATTGTGGCATGTTGAGGAATGTAGATTGCAAGAACTGAATACAAAAATGTCTAATGCAACATTTTCTATCATGTAAAATATTACAAAAGAAA